TGTAATTTGTAAGTAACTATTAGAATAATCACAACTTTTGATGACACATTTTCATTATATATTATCACATCTATTCATCATAAACAGTCATATTTATTTATAATGAATAGTAACATACATTCATCATAATACATTAATGAAAAGTTATAATTATTCATTACAATGAACATTTACATAGTTGTTCGAACTCAAGACTATAGTGAGAATAATATTTCTTTTATCACTAAGGCTACTTATAGGTTAAGAACAATATGAGTTAATAGAAAAAGAGTTTTGTCTAGGGTGTATCGTTTGATGTTGTTCTCTCTAGCTTCAATCGCTCTGTGGTAAGCAAGGGCTTGGCTGAGCCGGCACACATTGCGCGACAGCGCACGGCCTCAAAAAATAAGGGCCCTGAAATAGAATATATCTATCAGTTGTTACCATTAAGAAGAAGAAAAATAGGTATAAAGCAGTGGTTAGATCATTGGGATCATGACTTTGTTGATCCTAAGTTCGAATCTCGTTAACAAGCAAAATTATTTTGGGAAAAATAATGCAAGTGAGCCTGCTCATTGTAATAATAAGATAGTACCCTTTACAAGAATTTACACAGGGCCTCCAACAACCTTGCCACAGCCCTGGTGGCAAATAGTTCGTATTGAGGCGCATGTAATTTTTGTCACTCTCAAATTTTCGTAATGCTTTAAAGGCCTTGGTATCTGTTCTTGGACATACTCTGCAACTAGTCGTGTTTTTTTAGCGATTGAGGGGTGTGATTGACGGGTGGCTTGTAAGTGCTGTTGTTTTTCAAGAACTGGTTATATGGGAATGTTAAAACAATGATTTTCCAGGCAAGAGCGTTGGAGTTTAGGGAGTTTGTTGTGAAAACCGACGCTAATTTGGTATTGGATTGGATGGACGCTCCTCTTCATTACTAGTAGGAATGGTGGCCATTGTTTTTGCTGGCGTTCGATTGGATGCGAAGAAAGGCACTGTTTAAAGCTTGGTGGCAAGTATTTGGGGCTTGCTTGGTCCTCACATTTTCTGCAATCTGTGTTCTGGTTGTTTGTAGTTAAGTTGTTCACTGGTAATAGTTTGGTTGTAGATTTTGTATTGGTCTTGATCGTTTTTGCTTTTCATAGGTTTTGATTTTCTGCGGTGAAGCTTATGCTCTCTGGTTTGTCTAGTCTACGGCTGCATTATAGTTTAAAATAGAAAGGAGAGGATTTTGTAATGGTTTTGTTTTGCAACTCTGATGGTTTTTTTGGTTAGGAGGGTTAGGGTTTGTTGGTGATGGTCGAGTTGGCTGGGGATTTTGTGCTTCATCTTGTTCCTGTTTTGTTGGGTAGTATGTACTATTTTCTTCTAGTTTAGAGAGATTTTTAACGAGATATTATATATAGTCACGGTCTTATGTTTAATATTAATAAAATTTATATTTGTAGAGAAAAAAAAAAGGTTAAAAATTATATCATTGTGAACTTTAAATAAATAAGAAAACATTATGGATTTAATACTAAGGTTGTGAATATATTTACAAAAATCTGTTAATCCTGTAAATGTCAGACCAAAGGTAATCTCTCCATAATTTTATCATTACCATAAATTAAAACATTAATTTTTTATCAAATTTTATGCTGAGATAATTAGTTTAGGAATTATCTCAACACTAAAACTTTTCTACGTAAACAAATTTTACTCAAATAATGAGTCTATCACTGTTTGATAATCTTTGGGGTTTTTTTTCTTGAGTTTTTTTTTTAATTTTGAATAAAAATCTATATCATTTTGACACATTTTTCTCTTCTCTTGTGGTACACGTTTTCTCAACTATTGTTATTCGATCCAAATGATTTTTGGTACATTTTTCGCATACATTTGTGGTCGTTTTGGTGCTCGCACCAAAATCATCATGATATCTAATTGATTTTTCGGTGATCAAGTATAGTCATATCTCCTCTTTGGTAAAATGTTGTTTGTTAATATAATTAGTATTGTATAGCGAAGAAACTTTTCAGATAATTTTATTTTTTCACTTATTACTTTTTTATCAATTCCTAAAACGTCTCGTATCTTTGGGTTTAATATTTTTATTTTTTACAAAAAAATTTATAACTATTACCCTATCTTTTTTTTAATACTTGATTGTATTGTAATTATGATTCATTCATTTTATTTTATTAATAAAATCATGTTCTCATTATAAAATAAACATTATTAACAAATCGACTTTTAGTTTATTCCAAAAAGAAGATAATACTGTAGAAGTTGAATCCACATAACTTTATAGATTTTGTTTGACTTTATAATAGAAAGGAGTTCATTCAATGCACCATTGTATTAATGTTATAAGTTTAATATGTGTCGCAACCGTCTTTCGGGTAAGTTCGGAATTGGGCTTCGACTTAAATAAAATACATTAGAGTCGCCACCGATCATTTTAAAAAATATTTAGGTTGATCGGACACAATCTTACATGATCTGTGTTTTACCATAAATATGTCGGATTTGGGAGTCGGTTACAGTCAATGAATGATTAGCAGCCTTGTATTACCGTTTCGGTACCAATTTAATTTATCGGTTGTCTTAATGGCGAAAATTAAAAGTCAAATTAAAATTTAAGGGAATTCAATCCGAATTACTTACCATTGAAGAATTTAAGATTGACCCTAAAAAGGTGTTAGATTATAAAATAAAATAAAATATTAAATAAGTAAAAAAAAAGAAGAAAAATGTTAAAGTAAAAAGATGTTAAAAGGGAAAAAATGAAATAAAACCAAAAAATTTAAATTTAAATTTTAATTTTAAAGGAAAAATAGAATATGAAGTGTTAAAAGAGAAATAAAAAAAATAGATAAATAAAATGAGGAGGAAGAAAAGGTTAAAAGAGAAAAAAGATAAAAAAAATAAAAAAAATAAATAATAATAATAAAAAAACACCTGATAAAAAAATAAAATGACCAAATTAGAATAAATTGAAATCTATGGTCAAATTGATGCTAAAAGTGAACTGTAAGAGACAAAAACAAAAGGTTTGGGGGTCAATTTGCAAAATATAAGAAATGTAAACATTTATTAAATTGAATAAATTCAAAATTCAAGGGTAAATTTACAACAGGTGACCAAAACAAATTATACTACAATCTTATAGGGATTGTGGAAATAATTTAACTATTCCCTATTTACAACTTGGTCCTTCGGTTATAAATACCCAAAACCCAAAAATAACTTTATTTTAAAACCAAACTTAGAAAAACAATTAAAAAAATCTCTCCTCAACACTCTCCCCTCACCATCCTCTCAGGCCGAACACCGGCCTTCCCTCCGTCGTAGCCCACCTCCCCAGTCGTCGCTTCTGGCAGCCAGAATCCTACAACTACCCGAAAATGATCCTCTCGACCCCGTGAACCCAAAACCCAAGTCCAACCGCCTTAAAAACAAACCCACCGGCGTAGATCTAAAATACAAAGTCTCGGGTTTACCTTTTTCGACGAGCCTCTTCACCTTCCGATGACTGCTCCTCTCCTAAGTCACAATCAAAACTTCTCCTTTATTATTTTGTAAATTTTCCGCGGTTTTGCGAGATCTTGATGCTTGTTTTTTTTGTTTATTTGCTTGGCTGCCTATTGTTATTTTCGTGTTGGTTGCCCTCTGTATTTTTGTTGATATTTGGCTATTCACCGTTTTTTCTTCCCTTGGCCTCACCGGTGGCTTTTATAGTCCCGGGTTTGGCCGTTTTGAGTCCCAAAAGGGACATGATTCATGTGGATTTGTGAATTTTAGGGTTGTTCATGTCTTTGTTGGGTTAACCGTTCCGATTTTGTCTCAGAATGTTCTTGATGCATGTTGTTCAACCGGGATTTTTGGGATGGTTCAGTCCCGATCTTGGCCGGTTGTGGCTTTCGACTTCTATGCTCTGCGCTTGGCTTCCACGAGCCACATGTATGGCGCCAGTGCTATATGATTTAGGGTTTAAACCCCCTCAATCTGGACCCTTGATTCGTGCCCAATATGACGGCTGAGATGTGTGCAGTGTGCCTGGTTAATGTTGAAACCCTAAACGAACTTGGGCTCCTTTAACCGGGTGGGCTTGCTGGGTCAGGCCTGCCTACCAGGTTGGACACCCCACACCCTTGTTGGACCTGGAGTTGGACTTGGACCGAATAAAATAAAATTAATAAAACATAATATAAAATATATAATAAAAAATAAAAAATTAAAATTAATATAACATAAAATAATATTAATATAATATATAATATGTTTTCAAAAAAATCATTTTCAAAACTATATAATATATATTTTCAAAATTTGTTTTTCAAAATTATATAATATATACATATATTTCAAAAAATCGTTTTCAAAACTATATAATATATATATTTTCAAAAACTTTTAAAAACTATATATATATATATATATATATATATATATTCAAAAACCATTTTTTAAATAAGTATATATTATATGTTTTCAAAAACCGTTTTCTAAAAATTATATATTATATTTTTCAAAAACTATACTATATTATTATATATATTAAAAATTCCGGACGAAAACGAGTGTCTACAATCCGTTCAAAATCTTTCTCATAATTAAAAAGCCATACACACTCTTTATAAAAAAAATAGTTATTAGAATTTGAAATTTCTGAAAAATTAACGTTATTTTTTATTTTTAAAATCGTTAATGAATTCAAATAAATTTTGTCTTTGAAAAACAAAATGGAGTTGGTTTAAGAGTTGACATTGAAATCCTCCATTCCACAATTGGACATTAAATTGTTATCGTTTCTTGTTTTGGGGCAAGGGGATCCGATCTGGTTGTCGTAGTCAAATGCTATCAGATGCAATCAATTCTACGTTGAATGTCAATGTAGTTTGGTCAAACAAAGCCAGCTTGCTCCATTTATTCCGCCCCACGTTTCCTCGATGACTTTCAACCCGCTCTTCTTTAAATTATATTATCCATTTGCTATATATACACATAAGTGCTACACCTGCGTGCCATTCAATTCAAATAAACCCACAAAAATGAGGACAGCATTGTTCCTAGCACTTTCTTTCATTCTATGCGCCAGTGCCGCACCTGATCCAGTCCTCGACATCTCCGGTAAAATACTCCGCACCAGCACCGACTATTACATCCTCCCGGTCTTCCGTGGTCGAGGTGGAGGCCTGACTCTTGCCAGCTCCCGCAACAAGACCTGTCCACTCGACGTCGTTCAAGAGAAGCTGGAGGTGTCGAACGGTCTCCCGGTAACCTTTACCCCTTTCAACACCAAGAAAGGTGTTATCCGTGTCTCCACCGACAATAACATCAAGTTTTCTGCTGCAACAATATGTGTCCAATCTACCGTATGGAAGCTTGCCGAATTCGATGATTCGACACGACAATGGTTTGTTACAAGTGGTGGTGTCGAAGGCAAGCCCGGTCGGGAAACTGTTGGCAATTGGTTCAAAATTGAGAAGCATGAAGATGATTATAAGCTTGTTTTCTGTCCAACTGTGTGTGATTTCTGCAAAGTTTTATGTAGGGATGTGGGTGTTTTCATTGATGATGCTGGTGTTAGGCGTTTGGCTCTCAGTGATGTGCCTTTCAAGGTTATGTTTAAGAGGGCTTGAATCATAAAATCTTATCTTATTGAATTTATAATTTATAAACTTTAATATCAATAAAATTGATAAATTTGTTCTTGAATCAAATTTAAAATTTTTAGTAGTATGAGATAATTACAAAGTATTAATATTTGTTTAATTTTTTTAATCAATTAATAACACATACATCTTGTAGACATAATGAAGCTATAAAAAATTTACATTATTTCTTATGACTAAATTGACTTGATAGTTTCACTCAAATTTATATTAAAATAACAAAGAAAGAAATGTCTTCAGAACTCCAATACCTCAATTGTTGCTTTCCAGAAGTTTGAAATTGTGCATGGATTTTCGTGGCCAATGTCACTTAAGTTTTGAACCGACTGACTTCTCCAAAGGATTCAATACCTTCTCTTCAACTGTTCACCGTACAATACACAATTAAACAATTGGAGGAGAAAATTTTGTACCATATTTTACCCCAGAAACGGAAGTCTCACATAAAATAAAAGTCACCTAAGTGACCATCAGTAATACACGTGGATTTGGGAGAGTGCTTGACTGTCATTAAACTTTCTAAAGGTCATTTATCTGTCAAATTAAATTAATTCAGCGAGAAGCTCATTGGGGGCAAAAGAAAACACCATGAATGCAAGTGAGTTGATTCAGAAGAGGTGAATGGTACGTGAGCAAGCAGAGGTGTTAGCTTGGAGCTTGCAAAGAAGAGGCGAATGGAATACAAGAGTCATGTTTGTAGGAAAAACATTCAAGCTGATATCATTTAGAAGGAAGCAAAGACAACCAGGCTGCAGTCTGTAGATCTGGTTGTGATTCTCATAGTAGAATTGTGCAGATCGGATTCGATTGAAACTAGACTTGGAGGATTACTAACGTATAGAAAACACAAAGGGTTGTGGTTCAAAACTGAGATGAAGACGATGGGCACGTGTTCTCTTTCGCTGTGTTAGAGAAGCTTCCAAGGCCATTCTGGTAAACATATGTATTGAAGTCGGATTGAAAACTATTCTGTTCATTTCCTACCATATAGTTTTCACGTTTGAAAGCTTAATTTATTTCCAGAATTCAAATATTTGTTGTTCAAAATGTTTCTAGATGCTAACTTAGAATTATTACAGTAACATCTTATTCCCCCGACTAATTTAGGGTAACATCTTCTTTTGTTGTTGACATTCACCGAAGAATGGAAGTGGGTGGCTAGCTGCATTCTTGAGTTCGCACCCAATTTGAGAAGTCTATGGTTAACCAAATCATAATAAATATAAAAATTAATCAGAATTTATTATATCAAATCATTAAAAATAAATATTAGATTTGTTGAAGCATACCTAAATCCATTGTTAGAGATTACTTAAAAGGTTGGCATTTCGAAGATTATATTAAAGATTGAGATCTTAAATAGTGCCTTGAAGGTTGAGATCTTCCAAGAATATAATTTTCCGTTAAGTATAAACTCTCTACCGGAATAAGAGAAAATACAAGATAGTCTATTTCTAGAAGATAATTACTTTTTATATAGTCGATTTAATAATCAGTTATTATATGTATTTATAACTCTGCTCCTCATCAAATAATAAATACAACTTCAATAGTATCTACACTTTTATTTCCATGATAATTCTAATACATTATGGTTTGTACAAGATATTGGTCACTTAATTTTATGATAACATTATACATTATACATATGTGCTCGTGGTTATGGATTTTAATCCAACAATATCTCACTTGGATAACATATGTTTCCTCACAAATGTAACCTAATGAGCTCAAAATTTGCTATCATATAATAGGTATTTTATAACAATCTCATCCATCAATTAAATTCATATAGGATCAAAGCACCCTTTGTCATATCTATCATGACGAGGCCCATAAATGGTCATATACACAAATACAATGAAATGACATAGAAATTACATACAATATGAACCAAACATGTTTATTTCTAACAATTCTTCTTTAAACATAAATGAGGTTAGTCTCTAAAAGTTTCAAAAAAAAAGTTAGTCTCTAAATAATAAACAATAAAAGAGATTGAATAAATTGGATTTTATATTTTTTATTAGAAAAAAAAATACATCAATGCCCAAAACAGAACAAAACTCCTACTCAAATAATGATATTATCAATTATATAACATTCATATCCGCAATGTGCTCATGAAAGACCTTGGATGTTAACCTTTTATTAGTGAATTTTCTGTCATGGAATTTTTTTCGATGTGTTCTGTGGATATTTGTCCATTTTAACTCTCTTTCAAAAATAGAAATTTTATGTCAATATGATTTGACTTTGATGCTCTACTATTGTTGTTGAAATATAGTATTATTAATTTATTATCATAATATAATTAAGTGGTCATTTTATATTTTCAAAATACGTAGTTTAGTGACAAAGTTTCACAGTCCCGGTCCATGGTTTAATGCCTTGTAGCATGCTATAAACTCTGATGTCATAGTGAAAGAAACAAGTGCTATTTTTTTTACACTTTTTCAAGATATAATTCTTTGAGCTAGTATGTAAATATAACATGATATATATTTTCTGATATCTTGGCACCCGACAAAATCGGAATCGGAATAACTAATGATCTTCAAATTATTTATCTCTTATAAATGAGCATGAAATTTTTTGTTTTCCGAATATACCTCATAACTCTCATGACTGCTATATAATAGTTTATACCTAGATTGCTGGAGTATCTGCATGCCCAATATTCTAATAATGTATGCAATATTCAAACATGTACACACTTGACCATACATCAAACTCCCAACAGCTGATATGTAGGGAATCTTGTACATTTTCTGAATTCCAAGGTTAATCTTAAGGCATTGAACAATATTAAATTTGTCTCCTTTAGCAATAATGATGTTAACTGGTTTACTATTTTACATGGCAAACCTTTTGAGTACTTTATTGATGTAGTTCTTGTAATACCCAATTTTTTTCCAGACTTCATACTTCTTTTGTGAATGTTGGAGAGCCGGTTCACACTGACCTTGAGAAAAAAAAAATGTCATCATATTAGAGAATATCCTAAGGAATCTTGTCATATCTAGTATGATATCATATGAAAGGGAAGAATTATGCTAATTGATGTGATTAAATAAGGTTAGATGTTATTTCCTTATATATGAATATCATGTATGATTTGGGCACATCTTAACTGTCAATGTTAATGATTTAGACCATGATGTAAGGAGACTCCACTATAAATAGAGATTTTCTTCCTCTCATTAAAGGAGGGAGAGAAAAAGAGAAAAATAAGAAAAATGTAAGAAATCAAGGGAAACTCTTGTAAGAATACCGAAAAGAAAAGAAATAAAAGGTGAAATTTTTTGTTCTTTTCGTGTTCTTCTTGCTTGCATGCTAGAACTCTAACAATTGTTTAGATCTTATTTTTTTTCTTTTTTACTCGAACATTCACTGGGAGAGGAAACTGATGAACTAGAGGTGAAGATCTTGATTATATCTAGTTCACCTCAAGGCTCTCCAAGAAACTCGTTGGAGGATTATGACATTTTACCTTTTTCTTCCTTTTATTAACATGCTAAATCATCATTTCAACTTTTTTATAGACATTTTTTCTTAATTTCAATTAAATGATCCGAGGACCTGGTCCAAATTTCTTAGGGAATTTTTTTATTTTTGAGGTGTGGGGTCTATTTACCACCATAATCCTCTCTATTTTATATAAAAATTATTTTAGGCCCCTTTCCATGTAATTGATTTTTAAATTTTGTTTTCATTTCAACTTAGCATTTATTGCTTTTATTTTATGTTTCCTTTTACTTTAATCGATTTCGTCAACTTTAGTTACATAACGATTTAACCCCTTTTTTTGTAACCCCTTTTTTTGTAACCCCTTCGACCCAACCGAGGAGTTACAACTGAATCAGGGTAACGGCATTGATCACATAAGTCATCCACGAGCGAAATTTGTTTAATAAATCATTTTTAAAATACTTACCAAATATGAAATCAAAAATAAATTCATGGCACAATTTAAAGAGATCAAAAATAAAGTTTAAATCCCACACCATATACAATCGAGACTACATCTCCGATAGCCAAACTGGTTCTATAAATGGATAAACTCAAAAATAAAAAAAGAAAAAGAGTGAGCTACAAAGCCAAGTGTGTCCTCCCCAATAAAAAAAATATCATTATATATATATAAAATCATAAATAATGCATAAACAGTAACATCAAAATTTATTCATCAGAGTGCATCCTCAATAACACACAACCATACATGTCACCATGGATAAATAGGATTGGAACATTACCCTTCAAAGAGGAACCCAAGCCAGAATACAAAAATCGAGATGAAGATTTAGCCCTCCGAAGATGTTCCCAAATAGAAACAGAACGAGGATATAATCCTCTACGTAAATAGAATAAGGAATTAATCTCATACGGAATCAGAATGGGGAATTAATCTCATGCAAAAACAGAATGAGGAATTAATCTCATGCACAATAAAAAATGCATCAATGTGAAAATCATGGGTGATGCAACATTATTCAGAATCATAAATGTCACAGATAATTGCAATCAAATTTCAAACATGCTTTAGGTAGTAATAACATTAGACATAATAGCATAAAATATCAAAGAATCGAACAAGTAAATGGGACATACCTATAGCAGCTAACCGATACAGTCTAAGCCTTACACTTCCCACGATCTGTAATACTAGGTCGCGTATCTCAAATCGAACGTGTGAAGTCAAGTTGAGATAAATATAGGTAATTATGTTTGATTGGAGAGCGATGCAGAGACACGTGACAACCTTCAAAACACAATATCAGAGAATAAGATTATAAATTTCAGAATTTACTTATCATAACTATACTATAAAGTACTAAAATATTTAAAAACAGGACTTTCATGTCAGAATTTAGAAAAACGAACTGCAAAAATAGGCTCAAGACGTCGAAAAACATTGGGATAGATATCTTTGAAAAATTGTCAAAAGTTAACGAAAAAGTCAACGATCAACGATCAAAGTCAACAGTCAACAATCAAGTCAACGGGTTTGGTTTAGTCAATCGATTCAGTCGGTTCAGTTTAGAGTCA